GAGAGAGAGAGAGAGAGAGAGAGAGAGAGAGAGAGAGAGAGAGAGAGAGAGAGAGAGAGAGAGAGAGAGAGAGTCTTTGATTACGAGCACAACCGGGAATATCTGGGAGGCGAAGTATCCAAAACATGACTTGTTCCCACCTAACTTTTTGCAGCACCTTTTTCATATGTCGGAACACAGTCCATTGAGATCGCCGCCGTGGACTTATACATGCCACCACAAGAAGGGAGGTACTCCATGCTAACGGTGGGATTAAAGGAGGAAACAGGATGAGGAGGAAATGCGGAGGATGACATGACTAGTGTAATGTTTGGTAAAACGTTTTTTATTGGTTAGAAAAGGAGCTGCAACCTGTCCTCTTGCGGTTCTTGAAACATCAACTCTATTTTTCCCATTTAGTATAGGAATGAAGTTTGAAGCTGGTGTAAGATGTTGAAACTTCTTAATTTGGAAAACCGGAATTGTTGCTTTTGAATTTGCAATCAATGGAGCTCTCTGCCTATCTGTCCATCTGTCGGCGGATTGACAGAGTTGTAATTGGGGATGTGGGAACTGAATCTGTGCTTCCATTGGTATTCTGTTTTGTGTTGTCTTTGTAGGTGTGGTGGGATTGTGATATGGACTGTCTGCTATTTTCACTTGTACCTAGGAAGATTTCCACGACCAGCCGGTCACCTGGGCGTGACGCCGAGGGGGGTCTGATGCCCGGGATATCCAGGCATGGGGGAAAAACAAAAATAAAAAAAATGGCAGTGGGGGTTTTCCGTGCTCTCCGAGAGGAGCCCAAATCCGGGCTCTTTTTCTTTTTTTAAGTGTTGGCTGTCAAGGGGGGGGGGAAGGAGAGTATAAATGAATTTTAAAGGGGTTAAAGGGGTTTAAAGGGGGGTGTCTTAGTGTGATTTGGTGATTTTTTTTTAATCTTCAGTTCCGTGAGGAATTCTGATGTGACCCTCAGCCAAAAGTTGTTTGTATTGCAATTCTACACAACATATTTGTTTTTCAGGTTTTTATTTTTATTTTTTTAATTATTATTGTTTTTGTTGGGCCTGCCCGGGCCCATCCCTGGTGGTCATGCCCGGCCGGTCACCCCGTCGACAAACCGGGCGTGACATCGGGACCCGGGCGCCCAGGATATCTCCCTAGACTCGTACAGTATTTCCATTTGTAACCTGGATGTTGAGGATCTTGCCAGTCTACATTCCTCATCGATTAAACCACCAGTACATCCGAGCCTCGTTTTGCCAAGACTGATTTTCCCCGTGTGCCTACCTTTTGCTGAAATGCCACTGCGGCGCTTTTCGTTTTCTTTTGGCTGGCGCCATCAGCCATTTTGGTCTAGCCCCAGGCTCCGAACTTCTTGGAACGAGCCGATGTCAATTATTGAGTTTGCCTGGGCCATGTATTGGTGGTTTAAGGTGGTCAATGTTGTCCTGTTATTTGAATGGTGGTTGGTTCTCCATTGTTCTCCTTAGGTGAACTCCTGCATTGCTGACACCAAGTGAGAGAGGAAGGGCTTAGAGCACAGTAAATGGTAGACTCAGGGTGTACTCGCACTACCACTATCCTAAATGTACCTAATCGCATTTACGGCCGGACTTGTATGCATCTGCCTGCAATTCCGTACACAAATAAGTAAAACAGTGCTAGTGTGAGTTAGCCCTCAGGTGGGCATTACTAAGATGGTTTCCTGATGTGGTGGGATGTGCATGGCTGGGATTTCAAGCTGCATAAGTATTAAGTAGGGAGTTGGTGAAAATGGAAGTCCACCAAGAACTTGTTGAAGGTGGTATGATGACAGAGTGTGGCCTTGATTGGGTGGTGCAGGAAGCTTACAGCTTGAAACTTGCATTGCGCCCGGAGCGAAGGCGGCAGTACTACGCTGAACTATTGGCTTCGGTTGATGATGCTCTCAACCTTTTGGTGGCTTGCTTGAATCAGGGTGGGAGTGATGCTGAAGTCAGGAATCAGGTATGAGTCTGTGTAACTCTGTGCTTCATAGCTGCGAGCGCCTACATCGGCACAGGCCTTCATTCTGTCCAGACTTGTACTTTGTGGATGTTTGCATGCCTGTCCTTGTGATTTTTGCCCATGTTTGCGTGCCTGTCCTTGTGATCTTTGCACATGTTTGCATGCCTGTCCTTGTGATCTTTGTGCACATTTGCATGCCTATCCTTGCCATGTACGTGCACAAGCAGGCAGTCGACTTGTGGTTCTAGTCGGTTACTCTGGGGGCATTAGTGGTGGCCAGGGCTTGAGGGGCCTCAATGACTACCACTTGCACTTAGGAAGAGGTTTGAGAAAGTGCTGTGGGGAGGTATGTATGTTGGACCCTGCCCCTGGGAGATCCTGACCCTTTTCCTTCTGTTATCCTCCAAAGGGTGTTTTTGTCTGGCCAGGAGCCACTGGCCGTGGGCCTTGCACGTAGGTAGCGGGTTGTGGAAGTGGTGTGGGCCAGGGCTTCAACGACCACCGTTTGCATGTAGGTAGAGGGGCAGGGAAGTGGTGTGGGGAGGTGTATGTATATTGGTTCTTGGCCCTGGGAGATCCTGGCCTTTGCTGCCATCCTCAAAAGGGTTTCTTTGCATGGCCATGAGCCAGTGACAGTGGGCTTGCATGCAGCAGGTCGAGGGGTTGGAATTGGTCATGGCCAGGGCTTGAGGGGCCTCAACGACCACCAGTTGCATGTAGTCAGAGGCGCGTGGAAGTGGTGCGGGGAGGTGTATGTTTTAGTGGCCCTTGGCCCTGGGAGATCCTGACCTTTTCTGCCATCCTCCAAAGGGTTTTTTCGCGTGGCCATGAGCACGTGGCTGTGGGCTTGCACTTCGGTAGGGGGGCGTGGAAGTGGTGCGGGGAGGTGTATGTTTTAGTGGTCCTTGGCCCTGGGAGATCCTGACCCTTTTGCCTTGGCTGGGAAAGTAAACAATTCTTGAATTGGACGACATGCTTTTGGCCATCCTTACTCCTAAACGCACCAATACCTGTCCGTCTCTGACTACCTGTCCTTGCCCATCCCCCCGAAAGGCACTGCTTTCTTTTTATTATTATTATTATTATTATTATTATTATTATTATTATTATTATTATTATTATTATTATTATTTACTTGGAGAAGGTCCTGATTTCACATGCCTGGATATTCCGATGGCAGGGAGGGCTGTCCAGGTTAAAATGTCTCTTTTGGGCCCGGTAGTCAGGGGGCTGAAACTGTGGGGCCCTGTTAGCCAGTAGTGTGTAGGCGAGAGGTTCGCATTTTCTGATGTAGAAACATGGTTATGTCTCAAACTGCATTCTAATCTGGGCGATTTTTCTTTCTTCATTACGTTTGTGGTATTGATTGCTATTACGCAGCAGGTTCTGGGAGCTTTTGCGGCATGGCTGAGGCTCAGTACGAGGTGAGCTTCGACATCGGCCGGTCTTAGGCTTGATGTTACAGCTGTATGAAAACTAATTTGACAAAAAGTCTCATCATACGATTCGAGAGTAATTAATGATTCAAGTATTAAATGACAAATGTTTTGAGTATTAAATGGCAAAGAACTTGAAAAAGACATATAAATCATCATTCACAGGGATGGGATGATGAATTCTTTGTTGCAAGTCACTTGGAATATCTGAATCTATCAAACAGCCTCTTCTGTTGGGTATGTGGCGGAAAAATGCAATGGTGCATGCCCATGCAGGCAGAGAGCCACACAAAGGGATACCACACACACACAACAATACTCTCGGGGGAAAGCAGGAGGTGTGAGTGTTTGTGTGTGTGTGTGTGTGTGTGTGTGTGTGTGTGTGTGTGTGTGTGTGTGTGTGTGTG